CAGGTTGAGCCGGGCTCCACCTGTGCCGTGTTTGGTCTGGGAGCTGTGGGTTTGGCTGCAGTCATGGGTTGCAAGGCTGCAGGAGCCAAAAGGATTATCGCTGTTGACATCAACCCAGACAAGTTTGAGAAGGCCAAAGTGTTTGGAGCTACTGACTTCGTCAATCCCAAGGATTACAATAAACCCATCAGCCAAGTGCTGATGGAGATGACTGGTGGAGGTGTGGACTACTCCCTGGAATGTATTGGGAATGTGGAATGCATGGTGAGGAAGATTGAATCTACTCGGTAGTATCAAATGTCTAGTTTAGTAAAAGTCAACTAAACCTTCTTGCTCTTTTCCAGTAGTGGTTATTTAAGAAGTCCTTCATTAACATATCCTTGTATCCTTCTACATACAATTCTGCTGCTCCGCTGTTTCTCCATGTAGCGCAGTGCTTTGGAATCTTGTGTGGCAGGCTGGGGCGTTAGTGTCATTGTTGGATGGACAGACTTGCATGACGTAGCCACCCGACCTATTAATCTCATGCTTGGACGTACATGGACTGGGTGCTTGTTTGGAGGTGAGATAAATATAAGGGAGCTTACGGTGTCTTTATTAAGCTTATGTTGAGATTCATTACAGCTTGTCGTTTTGTCTTTTGGGGATCAGGATTTAAGGGTAAGGATGGCATTCCTAGGATGGTTAAAGCATATCTGGACAAGAAGGTGATGCTGGATGAGTTCATTACTCACAACATGACTGTGGACCAGGTCAACGACGCCATTGAACTGTTGAAGAACGGTAAAAGGTAGATTTGCTCTACTATACTTTCTCCTCCATTATTGAGTCAACAGCAACACAGATTAGACCAAAACTTTGCTCAAATCTTTTCTCCTTTTTCCCCACAGTATCCGCACAGTCATGAGATTTTCTCCACAATAATGCTGCTGTGCTGCCTTCATTAACACTAAAGTTACTACCAGCGAACACTAATCAGTGTTTGAAGAGTAAAATAAATGGTCTCCCAGATGGATCTCTGTGTGTGTGTACTCATTTTTTTGGGCTGCATGTTCAGTGTCTTCGGCTATATCCACGATTTCACTACTAAACTGTACTTAAAGGGGCCTATTAGCTGCCAGCTGCTGGAAAGGTGGGGTGAAAAAGTTGCCAGCTTACAGCCAACAGACTTGCTTAACCATTCACACCTACAGTAAATTTAGAATCACAAGTTCACCCAACATACATGTGCGATCGTGGCTCAAGAGTTGGGAGTTCGCCTTGTAATCGGAAGGTTGCCGTTCGAGCCCCGGCTTGGACAGTCTCGGTCGTTGTGTCCTTGGGCAAGACACTTCACCCGTTGCCTACTGGTGGTGGTCAGAGGGCCCGGTGGCGCCAGTGTCCGGCAGCCTCGCCTCTGTCAGTGCGCCCCAGGGTGGCTGTGGCTACAATGTAGCTGCCATCACCAGTGTGTGAATGGGTGGATGACTGGATGTGTAAAGCGCTTTGGGGTCCTTAGGGACTAGTAAAGCGCTATACAAATACAGGCCATTTACCATTTACATGTCTTTTGACTGTGGGAGGAAGATGGAGTGCCCACACAGGCACAAAGAGAACATGTAAACTTCATTCAAATCCAGGATCTATTTGCTGTGAGGCAACTGTGCTAACCAAATATTAATAGATTTCTATAAAATTAACCCAAAAAACCTACATATGATAAAAGATTGAAGAAGTGATGTAATTGCCTTTGAATGCATTAAATTCACTCTTATGACTGGCAGCACCAAATAAATTGTGAGGCATACATTTCCTTCTTTAGCCAATTACTTATGCCAGCTGTTCTACAGTCTTCAACAGAATTGGTTTCTTCTGACTGGGACACGATTTAGGCTCTCAGCAGGTCTTGTTTTCATTTCTGCACCTCCATCTGATTTAAATATTGGTAACCCTACTGATCCTAAATATTAATTTATTGCACATTGAATCATTCCAGTTTAACAGTGTACTGCAGTTCTGTAGGTGATCACACGAAGTCCTGTTGATGAACTGCATAGGTGGTTAAAATTCAAATAAATCTACTGTCTATTTCATTACTTTGAAAAGTGACTCCAACCACTTTCATTTTTCATGTAGAATTGTTTGTTGCTTTTTGGTTGTTGGTGGGATACATGTTATAGAAAACTAATTAGTCTTTCAAGATTATGTCTCCATTTTAATCTTCAGCATGGCAGCTATAAAAATGTGTTGATCTGACTGCTTTGAGACAGAAATGAAATTTTGAGAGTGAATAATACTGGAAAGATTTTGCCAGTTTACTGTAACCAGTCAATCTAACATTCCAAACATTAGCAATTATAGTAAAGTGACCCAGACAATTAATGTGCAACTTTCCCTATGCTCGACAAGCATCCTCGTGGGTGTATTCACCCAGTTATGTTTGTCTGAAATCCCAGTCTAAGAAATGCATCCATTAAGCAATTCTTTTTCTTTTTTTAAGTGTTCCATGTGTGGGGAAAACATGTGGAATGCAGATGCAGGCACTCAGTCTTAGACTGCCTTGCTTCCAGAAATAAGCAGAGCTTTTCTTGCTATTTCTGAGATGGTGTCTCCTTAGAAAAAGCTTGTGTAGTACATGAAATAAATTAGATTTTCACCTGTGAGCAGTATGGTAATGGGGGGAAGAAGAAAAAAAGAAGTAGAGCAAGAATAATTAAGCAATAATTAAGCTGGAAATACAAACTTCTTTTTTCTGTTTTTCCTCTTTTTAGATCCTATCATAATTGTGAGCTGTTTGTGGGACTGGGTTTTGAGAGAGTAAATTGACTCACTGCAGTGTTTGTAAAATTAACCCTGCAAAATTTTGTCATGAAGTTAAGCTTTATGTTTTTCATAGTGTTTACTTTTTTTTTTCTTTTTTTTTTTATCACGCCAGTGTCTCCTTCCTGTTGGATATGCCCAAAAACCACATCTAAGTGACAGTCACCAAAGAAGCATCCTAGTCAGGTGCCTGAACTACCTCAGCTGGCTCTTTGGGTCACTTCCTACAGCTCTGGGCATAATAGGTGACAGTAGGAAGTCAAAGTTCCAATCTTTTGCTCTTTCCTTCTCATTTGGCTAAACAATTAGCTGGTTAGGTTAGTAAACCACATAATATGAGGAGTATTAATTAGCGCAACATGAAAATCACCACTTTAGTTTAGATGTAATTTTAAGTCATGCAGCACATGGCTTGGTTGGGGCTTAAACATGGGCCTCTGCACTGAGCACACCTACTTATGGTGTGTACGCTCTTGTTTTAATAGTTTTAAATTTATTTGTATAGTGCCAAATCACAACAACAGCTGCATCAAGGTGCCTTACATTGCAAGGTTAAGACCAGATCATATTACCCCCTATGAGCAAGCACTATGGCAACAGCGGGAAGGAAAACCTCCCTCAGAACCAGGCTCACGGATGGGCGACCATCTGCCACGACTGGTTGAGGTTAGGGGAGCAAAGCAGGACAAAGACATACTGTCTTTGCAAATGTTCGTTAGGGTTCTTTGTGCGTCCGTTCATTTCCTGCAGCATACTTGGGTCAGGGTTATGAAGGTAACCAGCCAAGAAACATAGTCTCTTCAGCATTCCCTGAGTCCGTCCCATGGTCTTCTCCCGGTTGGATGTGCCAGAGATCCAAATAGGAAGCGTCCTAGTTTTTTATTTTTTTTTTAATCTACTGCATTAAAAATCATTTCTGCTTTTGGCTTCTGTTCCCTCTGGAGAAACATTGACTGTCCACGGCTGACCCCACAGATTGTCTATCCACACAGTTTTGCACAATTGTTGAAATTGGCAGTGACAAAGTGTTACTGAGATAACTGCAAGCTAATAAAGTCACTGTGGTATCCCAGGTCATGCTTTCGCTTTTCCAAGAATAGCTGCGATTATGGTGGAATTAATAAATCACCGTTAAACAAGCTTAGGTGAGTCTAAGCAGCACACATCACATACATTACACACATTTGTATCTCTCTCTTCCATTTAAAAAGTAAACAATATAATTTAAAATATTTTAACACATTTTAAACCATTTCTCTTTGTATTTAAATTACTGTTATACATTTGGAACATTTAAACACATTACATTCGGTCATCATAATACATAAATTATTTTAGCAAGGACTACATGATCAGTGCAAGAAGGGCTTAAAACTTCTCAGCCTACGCAGGTTAAAAACAGCAGTGGTTAAGTTACAGAAAGAGGTGTGTCATCACAGCGCCTTCAGGAACCCCTCCAATATATCTGGGTGTGCTCGATAAGTACATGTTTTTCATAGCGCGGGTATCAACGCTTTTGGAGGGAAAAATGACTGACCTAAACAGACAGAGCATCAGTTAAATTCATCATCAATTCATTGTTTTGTGATTATCGATTGTAACAACATCAGCGTGCCACGCAGATCTGTACTACCTATACTGGTTTTTATTGTGTTTGGAGTCCTCAGTATTATCTGCCAAAATTGCTCTGTCAAGCTATTTTAATTTCACTTTAATACTAGCTGAGATTTACACAGACCAACCTAATAATACCAGTGTTTGCTTAACTTGGCAGGCAGTGTTGTAATTATTCTTCTAGGATGGACTCCAGGATTTGTCCCCAAGCAGTCCTGCTGCCACTTTCCTTCTGAAGTTTTGCAAAAAAGAGATGTTATTGCAGAGAAACAGCAGATATACCAAATGAAATTATATCAAACCATAAAACTACATGTGATAACAGATTTATGTGCACGTCCTCTCATTTGACACCTTCAGCTGCACAGCTAATTAATAACTTTGTAGCACTCCTGATCGGGTGTTTATATTTACTGATACCGGATTTTATTGCAGCAAATAAAGGATGACATATCCACAGCTTTTGTTCCCGTCATCATCCTCCACAGTAAATTTAGCATTATCTGCTGTACTTCAGTGTTTCTTTAATTGTCGAGGTCTTGTTCCAGTCTTCTATTCTCCTTCAGTATCCTGCACCATGACACATCGCCTTGGTTTAGTATTTTCTTATTACTTTCAGTATGTACTGTAGCTGTCCATACATTCTACACATTGGTGTGTGTAACTGGGGGACGCTGCTTGATTATACCACTGCAGTTTGAACTTTGACCAGCTTGCCTGCAATGTGATGCTGGTGCCATGGATTGTACAAGAATAGGCAGCTTACAGCAATATGTGACCAGATCCAGTAGGACATCGTGAATGAGGCTTTTATTTCTTCATATTTTACTAGCGAAAAAAGGGACATGGGTGTGGTGACTTATTAAAAACATCCAAATAAAGTATATAAGGCAAAAACAGAGTTGGTACAGTTCTAACGAGCTTGAAAGTCAAAATTTGGTTCGACTGTGGCGACCCACTAGAGGGCTCCACTCACACCCAAGCTTGGAGGAGGGGTTCTGTTGTGTTTGGGTGCGATATGCTTAGTTGATGTATGGAGGTGAATAAAGTTAGAGTGGAAAACTAGAGCTCCTGTGTCGTGTGTCACATGCCTCCATATTGGTGACCCTACTTTGAGCACGCGGCGAACCATGGAGATCGCCCAGGACACACCAACGACCGCCGGCTCTCTGCCTCCTGCTACGGCTACGTTTGGCGTGGGGCTCCAGTTGTGGGACTTCTGGCTCCACGACCCCTCGTCTTGGTTCGTCCACGTGGACGCTCAGTTTGCTCTCCACGGCATCTCCGCTGACGACACGAAATTTAATCATGTGGTGGCATTGCTCGACCCGCTAGCCACCCGCCATGCGATGGCTCTCCCCCGGGACCGCCTTTGCGCGGGAAAATATGTCGCCCTTAGAGACCTACTACTGCGGCGATACATCCTCTCCGGTGCGAGCTCGCCGAGAAGCTTCTCTCCCTCTCCGGCCTGGGCGGAGGCACGGCTCTTGAGCTCATGGAGAACATGTTGTCCTTGCTCGGTTCGGACAACGGGGGATTCCTAAACATCCATCTCTTTTTCAGACAACTGCCTGTCGCTGTGAGGACCGGCCTCGCCAACTC